ATAGTCCAGCACTCAAACCACTACATCACACTGGTTCTCTACTGAAGTTAATTCTACTGGGTATTGCTGCTGAATGGTATATACAAGTGGAAACTTAAGGGCTGCCACCATGCCAACCTAAGTAGACCATTCTGTGCCACATTTTGGAAGGTTAGCAGAGAGAGTGTGGCCCAGTGAGTTTCCATGGCCGAGTGGGGACTCGAATCCTGGTCTCCAGAGTAATAGTCCAGCACTCAAACCACTGCACCATTCTGGCTCTGCCTTTCTACCTGTTGTTTAATTCAATCATACATATAAATAAAATTGTTGCCTAGTTTAAAATCTGTGCCTGTCTCTTCCTTGCAATCTCTATGGGATTGCACTCCCTGGTGTGAAGGATACAGTAGGTGTACTGATTGTGCCTACAGACTGACTTTGAAATAGAAACTTGGTTTCTATTTATTCATATACCTAACTGCTTCTTTAGGGGGGTTGCAGACTGCCAGAAATAGTGCAAATTGAGTCCACTTTTAGGGTTAGGGTTAGAGTTAGGGAATCATGGGAACTGTGTTTTATTGTGGCACCAGAGTTCTCTGACAGAGAAGGATCAATGTCTCAGAAAAAAACCCAATTCCCATTATTCCCTAGCACTAACACTAACCTTAAAAGTGGACTCAATTTGCACTATTTCTGCAGCCCCCCCCCCCAGTGAGACGTACTTTCCCCATTCTCAAAGTGTAGAGTGTTAGTGATGAATAAGGAAATTATTTACCTTGTCGATTTCTATTCCAGCAATTCTCTTTTAAAATGGCTAATTTTGTTTTCAGGCGTTCACTGTGATCCGAAGACATCAGCAGGCTTTTGAAGAAAAGGACTACACAAAAAATCCATGTGTTTCCTCATAGAAACACATGGTGCTTACAAGGTCTTCTAAGCATCATTGTTTCCAAGTAACCAGTATGATGTCATACATAAGGAAATCTGAAAGAGTATATACAGGACCACTCTGCTTCCATGATTCACTGCAACTGTCCACTTCAAATGAGAATCAACAACTTTGTTCCACAGAGACCAATGCAGCATCAAACCAAAGATCTATTCATTCGCCATCAGAGAATAATGTAAATAGCATCCTCATGAGGTACACTGAGTCAGCCAGTCTATCTATCTATCTATCTATCTATCTATCTATCTATCTATCTATCTATCTATCTATCATCTACTTACCTATCTACCTAGTTGATAATATGTCTATGTCAAATGTTTAGAGGGCTTGTGGTAGGGAGGGGCTGATTAAATCTTCTTGATCTCCCCAATCCACATTTAGCCAAATCATGGTTTCCATACATTCCATACCTACAGAAGTAAATAGGGAACTGGTACCCAAAGTAAAGCAAATGGGACCACTCTGCCCTTTTTGTAGTTTGAATAATAGTTTGGAGAGTAATTTTCTCCACTTGAAGAGGTGATAACTATGTCCACGTTTGAGAATCCAGGTCTACTTGGCAGTCAGAGGAGGAAGAATAATGTTTATTTTCTGTCTTATTTAGGACCAAAATGTGTGTGTGTGTTTTTCCCCCAGAAAGAAGCAAATGGAGACCATGTACCATTTCACTACAAGTACAGTCAGATGCTATTTCTTTATACCACATTAGAAAAAATTGTAGTTTAAGTACCACTTTGGGTGAACTATTACCTGTGGACTTTGAAGTTATAACATTCAAGTCAAAGGCAACTTGATTTACACCATGATTTACCTAGTTTCCATTCATTCAGTTTCATAACATCTGTATAACTGTTAATTTGTTCATATCTGTCTTTCACTTGTCCTTATCTAAAATGGATGTACCTTGAAAAAACTCAGCTGTGTCAATACCCTTACTCTATGCTGCCTTACTTTTTGGACTTGGTTGTTATCTGTTTTTCACATGGAGTATCTGTAGTGGACATTTCCCTAACATCCATGTCTTTTGATATTCTGTGAAGGTCAGATTGATACTATCAGTTTCTGCCAAGAACAGGTTCCTTGAAATCCTGCTTTTGGATGGTTACTTTTTAATAATGCGTGTATGCATCTATTCCTTTTGTCAGTTATTGTGTGTGCGTAATTTTGTGTGTGTTCTGTTTCATTTTTGTTATTTTTTAGTTATATTTATTATTTCAAATATTTCCTCCCAGCAAGGACTGATTAATGAATAATACATATCTATAGCTATTTATTATGACTGAGAGAGGATTTTAATGTGGAATAAATCCCTGTGGTATTCTATAGTGATAGTGATAATCGTCCAATGCATGGACATTGCAAACCCATAATTAGAACTTTCTGCACACAGTAAATCATATGTTTGGCAGTCAGCTATTCAGTTGTGAGAAGAGCACTTCCTCTCTATGCCCACACTATGCCTTTCTCCTACAACTTCCCCTCCAACCTTCTGGATGATTGGATAGTGAAAGAAGAACAATTATTCACTCGGCTCCCCTCCTATCTATAACCCTGTCCTGGCAGTGGCAAAATCATTGGCACAAGGGCTGGAATTAATGAAGTCCTTTGGGAATAACCACATTGATCACAGAATGCGAATGCAGCTTCACTGCTAAGAAGCTTGCCAAGGCTTGAACTAGCTTAAAGGCTGACAAGGCAGAGATGGATCTGGCTAATGGGAAAAGATAAATAGTAAAAGCAAGAGCCATTGGCCAAAAGAATAATAACCATTATTATTGGGTGTACAAAAACTTTTCAATAACGCTGGTATGTCTCACAGCCAATGTGGAAATGAAATCTCTGTTATGTATCATGAAAAGTTTACACAAGGGGAAAAGAAAAAAAAACCATTAAGGCTGTTTATGCATAAGTACTATTGAATTCAACGGGGTTTACTTCTACAAGTAAGCACAACTGTGCTGAAAATGTTTCAGTTTTGCCAGGGTGCCTGGTTTAGTGACTGTTTCTTCATCACAATATATACTCATTGCCATATATTCAGGAATGGGCAAAATTACAAAGGCAAGATACTGTTAAAAATATCTTCTTCTGTGTCTATAATGTGCTATAGCTAATGAGCAGAGAACAGCACAGAAGAAAGAATCCAAAGACATTTCTCAAGTCTCATGTTAAGGTAAAGCAGATGTTGTGCAGCTGCTGTTCTAATACTAGGGAATGACAAGTTGTATGGAAGTGTATAAAGACTCCTTGTTGCAGAAAGTGAACCACCTTAGTACAACGTCTTCCCTAGTATTGTTCCAGGACAAACAGAGAAGATCATGCTGGAGCAATGCCTTCCTTCCACATGAGTTTCCTTTGTTTCCAGAGCTGCTGCCACTCTACAAAAAGAATGCAGTTTGATACCATTTTAACTGTTATGGCTCCATTCTATGGAATCCTGATATTTCTAGTTTGTTGTGGCACCACAGCTCTCTGACAGAGGCTAAATATATAAAACTACAAATCCCAGAATTCCATAGTACTGAGGCATTGGCAATTAAATGGTGTCGAACTGCATTAATTCTGCAATGTAGATTTAGCCAGGGGGAAGAGTGATATCCTGTGCTCCTTCCATGTAGCTGGCTTACATACACATTACACAATCATTGCAAGATGAAGAAAAAACTCTGACAAGGGTAATGTAATGAGAGAGCATTTCATTGACATGATGATGTTAGAATCACAGGCCTACATTTTGTCATTTGTTGTCATCAGTTAAGACTGTCTGGAAGGATATTGGTGCAGGCAGAAGCTACTCCACTCTTTGGCTATATGGCCTCTAGGAAACAAAGAGTCATAAAATGCAGACAATAAAGTTTTCACTTCATTAGCAACAGAAAAAGTAACTTCCCACCCCTTTCTTAGGCAGAGGACATCGGATTTCTGAAGAAGTCTCAGTACCTAAAGGTTTTTCCAGATGCAACAATAGAAAGCTTCTTGAGAAATTCAATATACAACATGGGCAAGATGCATAGTTAGATTTTATTTTTGCTAACCCTTCTGGATCTATTTCAGTTTGGCTTTTAGCCTTGGAATGGATACTGAGACAGTATTCATTGTGAACAATTTGTTTCTAGATACAGAAAAGGGAAATGCCTCTCAATTGTCTTAGAAATTTTAGATCTTATCAGGGATCCTAGACAATATGGATAAGATCTTGCTACCTCCCTTGGAACATCTGATAAGTGGCCCAAGACATTAGTTGGTTTTGCTCTTTGTTCAGATGTTAGAAGGTAGCAGTGAGTGAAGCCACTTCTGTATTGTAGGATATGCAGTGTGTACACAAGACTGTATCAACTAGACTGCTTAACATTATGATGTTGATGGGAATTTCTGGAACTTTGAGATGGGTGCAAATATTATTACATCCTAACAACTCTACGTTACATTAAGCCCCAAACTACATGTGTGTCTCTGTTACATATTGGCTATTTTTACTTTTTAACCAAATCCAAGCACCTCAGTACAACTGGAGCAGAGTGACCCTGGCACCAGTACCTTTCGTGGGGGGAGGGGGTTTGATGGTAAGGAACTGGGGATAAAAACAACCAGACACAAAACAGAGGCCTCATCTGCCCTGAAGAAATAACGTGACACCACTTAACCTGCCATGGCTCCATGCTATGGAATTCTGGGATCTGCAGTTTTGTGAGATATTTAGCTTTTTCTGTCAGAGAGGTCTGGTGCCCCCACCAAGCTACAAATACCAGAATTCGATAGCATGGAGCCATGGCAATTAAAGCAGTGTCACAGTACATTATTTCTGCAGTGCAGATGCAGCCAAAGAAGCCCTTTTTACCACACCAGGTATCCATATTGATGCCTCTGAAAATGCATTTGGTAAGAAAATGATATATTTGAGACAATCTGTTATGTACCTGGGAGTAATGTGTTGTTCAGGTCTAAAGAACCTGGGAGAGTGTCAAAATGGCTAAATTAATTAGAGAAGCTGATTCCTTGAATGAGTCGCATTGGGAATGCAATCATATGAGTTTTGTTTTGTATTGTATTTTGTATAATGCATGCATAATATTTCTTTTAGGCAGATGATTAACTTTATCAAGGGCGCATCTACACTGCAGAAATAATGCAGTTTGATACCACTTTGAAGTTCTGTAGCTCCATCCTATGGAATCCTGAGATTTGTAGTTTTACAAGTTCTTTACTCTTGTTTGCCAAAGAATCCCAGGATTCTGTCTGATGGAGCCATGGTAGTAAAGTGGTGTCAATCTGCATTATATCAACAGTGTAGATGCATCCTAAGTTATAAGTGCAAATAACTTAGGGTGCAT